CAGAAAGAAGAGCGTGTGTGGAGATGCCGACGCGGGAAACAACATCAGAGGAAACAGAGGATGAAAGTGGTCAGTCGCCACAATTCGCTCCTACCAGACCTGAGATCTCTCTCGTACCCACAAATTCCTCTGAATGGTGGAGGACATCATAAAGCATATCAACCATAAGCGCAAGCTGCGATACCGAACCCTTTCCCACCTCCTCCTCAAAATCATTTTAAAGTTGGGTGAACTTCGTGTTGTAACTTTTGCTTTTTGTCGCTATTAACACACGCACTGCGGGCTACACGTAATACAACTGTATTCTCTTTAACACCAGTGCGCACACAGGCAAAGGCTACATCTTCAACTACACACTCTCACATCAGGGCCATACCATTACATAAACTGCGTGGGGGTAAATCTGGACTAAACCATTCACTGCTTATACTACACTTTGCATATTTCGCAGAGCTAAAAGCAAGACAATTTCTTTAATTGTGGCACAGATGCTAGAATCCGCCTTTATGCATGCGCGACATCGTAAATGGTATGACAAGTGTAAACGCATGAATTAGATATGGCTCACAATTAAAACAAAGTGTAAACAAATGAGATATAGGCAACAAATCGGAATTGGGCTTCAAGACCTGACTGTAAACGGCCGTGCTGGTAGTACATTTTTTCTTGAAGGTATTCTTTGTGAGTGTGTGAATGTGTATGTGTTGATGAGCACATGAGTTAATGTTAATGTGGTTTAATAAGTGTGTGAAAGTGTCTTAATGTGTGTGTGTGTGTGTGTGTGTGTGTGTTTTAATGTGGTTTATTGAGTGTGTGATTATGCATATATCTGTGTTTGGGATTATGTGTCAATGCATGTGTCTTAGTGTGTGTGTGTGTGTTCATGTGTATGTGTGTTAGTATATGTACGTTAATGTGTATGCATGTGTGTGATAGTGTTTGTGTGCTTGTGTGTTTGTGTGTGTGTCTCTTTGTGAGTGTGTGAATGTGTACGTGTTGATGAGCATGTGAGTGTGTTAATGTGGTTTAATAAGTGTGTGAATGTTTATGTGTGTGTGTGTGTGTGTGTGTGTGTGTGTGTGAATGTGGTTTAATGAGTGTTTTAATGTGCATATATCTGTGTGTGTGTGTGATTGTGTTAATGCATGTGTCTTAGTGAGTGTGTGTTCATGTGTATGTGTGTTAGTATATGTACGTTAATGTGTATGCATGTGTGTGATAGTGTTTGTGTGCTTGTGTGTGTGTCTCTTTGTGAGTGTGTGAATGTGTACGTGTTGATGAGCATGTGAGTGTGTTAATGTGTTGTTTGTGTGATTGTGTGTTAACACAAATGTGAAAGTGTGTTAATGTGTGAATGTCTGTTAATGACAGCGTGTGCATGTTTGTCTGTAAATCTGTTTTTTATATATGTGTGTGAATGTATGTGTGTGATTGTGTGTGTGAATGTGGTAATGAGCGTGAATGTGTGTTAATGAGTGTGTGTGTGTGTGTGTGTGTGCGCTGCTGCTGAAGTGAGCGTTTGACTCTGTTCCTGATTGGCTGTTTGATCCTGTTAGCAGGTCGTGGCTTTGACTGAATGGAATAGTTCCTCTTAGAGCATAAGCAGGTAGTGTTACTATAATAAGCCACTAAGGCATTTGACCCTTGACCCTCAGAGTAAAGACAAATGTCATCCGCTCCCATCACTGGCGCTCTCCTTTCAAACACACTAAATGCCACTGACAGGGAACAACCGAAGGTCAATTCCAGGACCAGTGACAGAAAAGGGTCATATTTGATTTCTTGTTTTTGTTTGACTCGCTTCATTATCCACCAAAAGGAGTTTACAGGGTTTATTCGGTCATGGAAAACTTGGAAAAGGCATGGCATTTTCCAGGCCTGGAAAAGTTTTAGAAAAACTTTTGGAAAAGTCATGGAAATTAGTTTAACAAATATCTGCATATTGAATTAGGGCTGTGCGATATTGGAAAAATCTGACGTTACCATATTTTGTATTTCTGTGACACAGTTGAAACCAGAAGTTTACATACACTAAAAAAAGGAACGTAACCATATTTTTAAAAAAATGTCTGCTGGTAAATCACACTAAACATTTACTAGTTTAGGTCCGTTAAGATCACCTAAATGATTTACATTTGCTAAATGCCAGAATAATGATAATTATTCATTTCTAGACAGTCAGCAGTTTACACACATTTCCTTAGTATTTTTTCAGCTTTGCTTTTAAACTGTGTGTCTTTGGTCAAATGTTTTGAATATCCTTCCACAAGCTTCTCACAATAGTTTGCTGGATTTTTGGCCCATTCCTCCTTACAGAGTTGGTGTAATTGAGTCAGATTTGTAGGCTGTCTTGCTCGCACAAGCTTTTTCAACTCCGCCCACAAATTTTCTATAGGACTGAGATCAGGGCTTTGTGATGGCCATTACAAAACATTCACTCTGTTGTCCTTAAAGCACATTTGAACTAATTTGGCAGTGTGCTTAGGGTCATGGTCTGTTTGGAAGACCCATTTGTGGCCAAGTTTTAATTTCCTGGCTGATGTCTTGAGATGTTGCTTCAGTATTTCTCCATAATGTTCTGTCTTCATGATGCCATCTATGCTGTGAAGTGGACCAGTCCCTCCTGCAGCAAAACAGCCCCACAACATGATGCTGCCGCCCCCATACTTCACATTTGGGATGGTGTTCATAAGCGTGTAAGCTTTCCCCTTTGTCCTCCAAGTGTAACACTGCTCATTATGGCCAAACAGTTCAATCTTAGCTCCATCAGACCACAGGACATGCCTCCAGAAATGAGTCTTTTCCCCAGTGTCATTTAGCAGATGGTAATCTGGCTTTGTTGTTGATTCTGGCTTGTTGATTTTCCCATGTTGTCACACAGGGAAGCAGTGTGTTTGAGCTTTTCCCTCAATACTATTCTACAGTTGTGCCTCACATTAACTCAAATGTTGTCAATTAGAAACTTCCAAAACCTTGACATCATCATCTGAGCTGCTTTAGAGGCAGAATAATCTTATTGTGTGTAAACTTGACTTTCAAGAAAAGTTATTACAATTTCTCAACAAATATCTCCCTCATTATTCTGTTATTAAGCAGAACAAAAACGAATGTTATCATCCTGACTTACCTAAAAGAGAAACATTTTTATATTTATAATATTTGTTTTGAATTGGCTACAGAACAAACCACTGTTACTGTGTGTTCACATCAAAAGTGGTGAGAGCATCGAAGTTGGCAATGTAGTCGGAAGTCGTTCATTTTGAATGGGAGTTGGCAGCGATAAGTGGTGAGGAGCAGTTATTTACCATGTTTTCATACAGGGACATACATTAAAAATTACTGGTGAGTTACTGATCTGCATTAATGTTAGCTATGTTTTAATGTTTTTAAAAAGCAGGAATCTCATGGCAACTATGGCGAGAGTACAAAACAGTATTGCTGCTTCAGAATATTTACATTTACATTTACATTTAGTCATTTAGCAGACGCTTTTATCCAAAGCGACTTACAAATGAGGACAAGGAAGCAATTTTCACAACTATAAGAGCAACAATGAATAAGTGCTGTAGGCAAGTTTCAGGTCTGTAAAGTCTAAGAAGGGAAGTATTAGTAGTATTAGTAAATTTTTTTTTTTTTTTGTACAGTTAGTGTGATATTTCAGACATACTGTATGAACTGTGTCTCATTTCAGAGGCTGGATCCTCCAAAGGAGGCATTCAAAGTGCGTCGTCATCATAGCATGACGAATGCTGTCTCATTTTTTTTTTTTTTTTAAATCGAAGCCTCCTTTAAATGCAGCCTCAAAATGCATCCTTTGTTTCCCAGGTATTGAAGGACACAACCGGGGGATCATTCTTGGCCTCAAACGTCCCAAGAATCATTGCGCGCTGATAACGGCAGGACATTTATAAAAGAAAACTCAGAATTAAATAATAAATAAGATTTTCTGTACTTGGATATCTAATTTTATTGACAGTTTACATTTTATATGTATTGATCAAAGGAAATATCTGGCTTCTGTAAACCTTGCTTTGCCTACAGATCACTTAGGGTGCTTTCACACCTACACTTTTGTTTCGGAACCTGTCTCGTTTGCCCAGTTAGCGCGGTTCGTTTGGCATATGTGAAGCCAGAAATCGCGCTAGGATCCGTGCCACATCAATCACTCCGAGATCCCTTGAGTGAGGTGGTCTCGGCTCGATTAAAAGAAACTCTGGAGCAGATTGATTGGAGCAAGAAAAGGATACGATCCGAGCGCGGTTATATCACAGTGATTTATGGATATGTAATAGGCATACGGCTATATGAAGAGAGAATCATGAGAAGGGCAGGAAGTTTCGGGAGTCTCCCGGATGCCTGCAAACGAGTGATGATCTCCCGGTAATCTCACGTCTCCCTCCCGGTCCTCAAAGA